TATCCATTGCCTCCTGATCATTTTGACATTTAAGGTTCTCTACAATCTGACAAAATACTAGATTTCCAGGATTATTTCATATTACTCACTTTCATCTATTTAGTTCCTACCCATCCTTTAAAGCCCAACTCAAATTCTACTTCCTCTGAGAAATTTTCCTTGATTTCCTTGGTCTATAACATCTTTCTCCCTCAGAACCTAGATAAAACTTTGTTTTGTAACTTCAAACTCATTTAAAATGTAGTATTGTGTACTGTAGCTATTTTAGTTGTGAGGTATATGATTTGTATCTCTTCCAATTTTTTATGGTATGATCTTTAACACTGAGGTCACATCCACTTTAAATTTATTGTGTAATATTAGATATTGGTGTAATCAGATTTCTACCAGTCTTCTTTCTTGTTTTACCATCAAACACTGGGTTATTAACCTCAAATATTTCTGATTCTTCTTTGTTAAGTTTAAAGTTCCGCAAACTAGGGCCTATGGGCCAAATCCATTCCTCTGTCTCTTTTTGTATAGCCCAGTGAACTAAGGATGATTTTCACATTTCATTTTTTTTACCTTTTTATCTTAGATGTAAATATTAAAACTTAAACACATGAAACACAAAGAATAAGAAACATTACAAACTTAAATATTAAAACAAATATAAAATAAGAAAAGAAAAAACGTGTGAACAGCAGATCATAAGAGAGGATTCAAAATATATAGCAATAAATTTCCATTTCAAGAAAGCCTATATGGTAAATACTATGCATTGTGTTGAGGCCTATCCATCTTTTATTTGCTTCCTTTTAGATTTCTTTTGTTCTCTGCTGCACACTTTTTACTTTGTTCTTTTTCCTCCTTTCTTCCTCCCCCACAACAATTAAGAGTGGCTATATTTATATATAGATATAGATATATACATACACTATACATATATATACATACACATATACATATTTATATAAATATTTACTTTCCTTAAGAGATTCTACTCCTAATCTTTATTTTTATGTTTGTACATTTCTCTTATTTCCTACCCTTCCTGACTCCTCTACTTTACTTCTACCCACTACCTTGCCCTCCTATTACTTAACCTACCCCCACTCCCAATGATTCCTCTCTTATTCTCCCATTCCCATAAATCTAAACACCCTTTTAAATCCCCCTTTAACCTATTCCCTCACCTTCCTCTCTAAAGATTCCTCATTTATCCTCTCCTCTTCCCTATCCCCTTAGCATTTTATTTTTCTAAATTTAGACTTTTGTACTCTTCTAGATAAATATGTATTGTTCCCTCTTAAACCCATTCCCAGTGAGAGTAGGTTTCCAGAACTAACAGCCCTCCTCCACCGCCTAATTACTCTGTATCTATTCTTCCTGTCGCACCTCATTTGTATAAGATAAATTTACTTTTTGAAGTCATATCATTCTCAGGCCTACCCCATTCTTTCTTATGAACTACCCAATTACTAATAACAATCTTAGACATACGTTTTACATTTTACATACATAAAAGGTAAACAATCTGTCCTTACTGAGTCCCCTGTAATTGGTCTTTGGTATGTACCTTATGTTTCTCTTGGTAAATCTTCTATTAAGTTCAGGTTTTATTTTGTTTATTTAAACAAAGTCCTGAAAGTCTGACAATTCATTAAATATCCATTTTTTTAAAAATTCCAGAATTATGCTTAGCTTTGCTGGATATGATATTTTCAGCCAGAAGCCCAGTTCTTTTGCTCCTCCATATATAGTGTTCCAAGACCTGCAGTCTTTTGTTGTCGCTACTTCTAGGTCTTGTGTAATTCTAATTGTGGCACCACATGTTTAAATTGTTTTTTTCTTGTTACTCGTAATACTTTATCATTGAGCTGAGGATTTCAGAATTCGGCTATAATCTTCCTGTGGGTTTTCCTATAATCTTTCCAGTGGTAATCAGTGGATTTTTTTCTAATTCTACTTTCCCCTCTTGTTCTAATGCTTCAGGGCAATTTTCTTTAATTATTTCTTGTAGCATGTCATCAAAATTCTTTTTTAATCATAGCTTTCAGGTAGTTCAATTATTCTTATGTTTTCTCTTCTTAATCTCTTCTCCAGATCAGTTGTTTTTCTTATGAGATGTTTCACATTCTCTTCTATTTTTGCATTCTTTATATTTTGTTGTACTCTTTCTTTCTTTCTTTCTTTCTTTCTTTCTTTCTTTCTTTCTTTCTTTCTTTCTTCCTTTCTTTTGTTCTTTCTTTCTTTCTTTCTTTCTTTCTTTCTTTCTTTCTTTCTTTCTTTCTTTCTTTCTTTTTTCTTCTTTTAAAGGCAATTGGGGTTAAGTGACTTGCCCAGGGTCACACAGCTAGTTAAGTGTCAAGTAGTTTGGTCTGAGGTCACATTTGAACTCAGATCCTCCTGACTTCAGGGCCAGTGCTCTATCCACTGTGCCCCCTAGCTACCCCTGTTTTATTATTTCTTGATCTCTTATAACTTCACTGGCTTCCCCTTGCCCAATTCTGATTTTCAAGGAGTCATTTTCTTCCTTAGGCTTCCGGATCTCCTTTTCTAATTGGTTGACTTTCTTTTCATAATCTTCTTGTTTTTCTTGGATTGTTCTAATTTTTTCTCCCCTCAATCTCTCTCATTTGATTTTTAAAGTCTTTAAAGTTCTTTTATGAATTCTTTTTAGGCAGGTGACCATTTGGCATTACTCTTTGGAGTAGAAGAGGGTTTCTTTGCTTCAGTACCCTCCTCTAAGGGTGAACCCCTGTCTTCTTAATTGCTGTAGCAACTCTCTATGGCTGGATTCTTTCTCCTTTGCCTGTGCATTTTTGGGGTACTAGTTTAGTTTTTTAAATCACTTCTAGTCCTAGGGTGTGGGGGATAGTGCCTGTGGCCTCAGATCCTCCTTCAGTTCTACCTTCTGACCTTGACCCCCAGCCAAGACCTCCAGGCTCCTGTAAGTGCCCACAGCCAGCATCCCTGACCCACTGCTTCTGCACTCAGCGAGCATGTGTTGGTTCCTTCTTGCTCCCACGGAATCTCTGCAGCACAGCTGAATCTGGTATTCCTTGGTCTTCCCTGGCTCAGACTCCCAGCTTCATTCACTGTCCTGGGCTAAAAGTTCCTGTAGCTGGGGCTTGGGCAATCTTCCAACCCAGCCAACTCCAGGGTTTGCCACTTGTTCTTTAAGTGGTTTCTAGCCTGGAGATGTTTACTCTTTACAGCTATGAAACCTTGTCCTGGGATTTTTCTTCATATCTTCTCCAATTGTCCCAGAAGGACCACTACTCTGAATTGTTTTCACTGCTCTGTGTTTGCCCTGAGGTGGTATTTTATCTCTTTTGTGGAGGAAAATCTTGAAAGCCTGAAATTTTCTGATCTACTCCACCATCTTCCCAAAATCCTCCAGTTTTTACATTTTAAAATAAAGTTTTATTATATTTAAAAATTGTTCTTAGTTTGAAAGCTGTACAAAAATATGTTCCAGTAGATTTGGCCCTTAGGCCATAGTCTTCTGACTCCTGGTTTAGTCTGTTGCATTGATTTACTTAGAATTTTTAAACTAATAGCTAATGATTTCAATGATCGATATCTGGAAGTACTATTTCCCCTTAATTCCTACCTCCCCCCCCCCTTATTTCCCTTAATATTTTAGATCTTTTATTACTCCAAATGAATTTTGTTACTATTTTGTCCAATTCAGAAAAGTATCCCTTTGGAGAAAACAGTTAACTGGGAAAACATCTTTGCAGCAAATTTCTCTGATAAAGAAGGAATTGTTTCAAATTTTTAAGAAACAGAAGCATTATCCAACTAACAAACTGTCAAAAGACAGGAACAAGCAGTCTTCAAAGTAAGAAATCCAAACTATCAATAACCATATGAAGAAATTTTCCAAATAACTAATAATTTAAAAATGCAAATGAGAGCAACACTAAGGTTCCCCCTCACACTCTTCATATTGGCAAAGATGATAAAAAAATAAAAATGACAAATTTTGGAGAGACTGTAGGAAAAATAGGCAGTTGGTGGAGATATGAATTGGTCTAGGTGTTTGGAAAAGCAATTTTGATCTATGCTCAAAAGTTCTTTAAAAAAATATGGACCTTTTGTCCCAGAAATACCGTTACTGGGCTTATACCCCAAAGAGGTAAAATAAAGAAGGACCCATATATACAGTAATATTTATAGCAGTTCTTTTTGTAGTGGTAAGGAGCTGGAACCTAAGGGGTCCTACTAACTGGGGAATGGCTGAACAATTATAGTGTATAATAATAATAATAATAGCTTGCATTTACATCACCAGGCATTGTGCTAAGTACTTTACAAATATTCTCATTTGAACTTCACAACAACCCTTTGAAGTAGGTGCTATTGTTATCCTCATTTTACAATTGAGGAAACAGGTTAAATGACTTGTCTAAGGTCACACAGCTAGTAAGTCTCTGAGGTCAGTTTTGAACTCAGGTCTTCTTGACTTCAGATCTGGTACTCTATTACTCTATCCACCATGCTACCTACTTGTCATATTAATATAATAGAATACTAGTATGCCATAAAATTTATGAAAGCTATAGTTTCAGAGAAATCTTTGAACTGACAAAGAGTGAAGTGAGCAGAACAACCAGGAGGGCAATTTCTACAATAACAACATCCTAAGGACAAACATCTTTGTAAGACTTCAATCAATTCAATGACCAACCATGACTCCAAAAGATCAATGATTAACCCACCGCCTGACAGAGGGATGATAGAATCAAAATGGTGAATGAGACATACTTTTTTGGCTATGGGCAATGTAGAGATTTTTCTTGCTTGACTACACGTGTTTGTTACAAAAGTTTTCTTTTTTTCTTTTCTCTTCAGTGATCTGGGAGACCAGAGGGAGAGAAAACAAATACTTCTAACTGAAAAAAAAAATCAAGTACCTCTTTAGTAGTTTGGTTGGCAAAGCATCATATCTATTAATTAACTTTGGCAGTACTGTCATTTTAATTACATCTACACCATCCAACCAAACTGGATATCCTTCAGCTATTTAAGTAGTTCTTTATTTCTTTAAGGATCATCTATACAAGCATTTAATGTACTTTGGTAGATTTATTCCTAAATATTTAATGTATTTTGTACATGTTTTGAATGGGATTTAACTTTTTATTGTTACCTCTCATGAATTTTGTTCTTATATAGAAATGCTGTTGATTTTTGTGGGTTCACTTTGTAGCTTGCACCTTTTCTGAGGATATTGTCTTGATTGGTTTCTTCGCTGATTCCCTGGGACTTTCTAAGTTAATTATAATTTCATTAGAAAATAGGTATTGTTCTGTCTCCTCTTTGCCTATCTTTATGCCTTCAACTTCTTTCTTTCCTCTTATTGCTATTACTATCATTTCTAGGACTTTTCAAATAACAGCAGGGAAAGATTGCATTCTTACTTTACTCTTGAATTGATTAGGAAAGATTCTAATATATAATCATCACATATAATGCTTACTTTGGGTTTTAGATAGGCATTTTTTTATTACCTTAAAAAAGATTACTTAAAGCCTCTGCAGTTTGATCTGAGTTCCTGCTTCCCACCAGGGAATAACTACTATGAATAATTGCCATAGGGACTGTGGAGGTTGAGGGGAATATCATTTTCTTTGAATCAGTATCCTTCAATGAATTTCACCCCTGAGGCTGAATCAGTTGTCTAGCTAGATTAAGGTCTGTCCCAGAATAGGGGGTGAGGTAGGAAAGGGATCCTGCTTTTTTGGGATAGAAAACCACATTGTGTATCATCATTGGGATCTGGAGACACCATGAGTCCTCGTTGTTTGCTTCCATTCATCTTCTCGCAGCTTAGCCCGTTGGATTTTTCCACTAGCTGTCTTGGGCAGTGCTGAAACAAACTCCACCTGTTTGGGAAAGATGACAACTCTTTCTTTTTCTCTTTCTGTCTCTGTCTGTCTCTGTCTCTCTGTCTCTGTCTCTGTCTCTGTTTCTGTCTCTGTCTCTCTTTTTCTCAGCTTTGTGGGAAAAGCAAACGGGCATTTCTGAGATTGTAAGTGTCTTCATATACTAAACATTTGTAGAAGCCAGGGACTCAGTCTAGATAGATCCCCTGGACAGAATTCAGCACAATGTCATGTATTACCAGGATATTATAAAAATTATTTTTTATAAAGTGGATGAAGAGAGATCCCAGGGGTCAATATAAGGGCTCAAGGTGCTTAGGGTAAAAGGATATCCATGAATAGATTGGTGCATAAAATATAGTAAACTCTTGTCATACCAGATTTTGTTATTCCATAGAGACATACATTAAGTAATACTGGAGATCGTGTCATTCCTCTCATATATATGTTGATGTATATTGTAGCTCCCTAAACAGAAGAGTGATTGGTTGGAATTCAAGGACGGTCATCAGCTATAGGCCTTACTGTTCAATAGAACTAGGACAATGTAGTCATTCATTAGTCCCTCTTTCTGAGTAGTTCAGGAGAGTTTGTGGGTCAAAGATACTGACCCCTAAAAAGGAGAGGACAGTGATGTGACATCAGGGGCTGGAGGTGAAAATGACTTTCTTCTACAAACTCAGAGGCCTCACCTTTCTGGGATATTTGTAGGGGGCAGTTGAAGTCTTCACATGCTGCTGTAGCTCTCGAATGAGCTCTTCTTGGTCATGAGACTCAAACTTAGGGGTCAGTACCACAAATGCCTTCACTACCTATAGGAAGAGCACAGGGTAAGAAGAGTTTATTGCTGTTAAGCACAAAATAAAAACATACTGTTAGAAGTATTCATCACCGTAATTACTATTAATATTCCTCCACTGACATCATCATGTGCCATTATCATAATGACTTGCCATTATCATGACTACCATCATTAACATCATACCATCACCACAGCAACAGTATTACTACTGTGACTTTCAGCATCCTAACCATCATAAGTGCCATCATTACCACTCATCATCACCATTATCCTTCACTGCCACCATGACTGCCCTCATCATGACCCTCTGTCAGCACCACTACCACCACCACCACCACTGCCTCCATCATTATCACCATCAAGACTGCATTCATCACCACTTCCATCAGTGCCATCACTACTACCAGTGAAAATGAAGCTAGAGAGTCAGTAGAGGTAGACAGGGTCAAATGCTCTTTCAGACATCAATATCCTCAAGGGCAGCTCATAATCAGGACCGGTAAGAACAGCACGATTCTGTAATGTAGGGGAAATAGCTATAGTAGGGAGGAAACTGAATGGAGGAGTTTGGGCAAAGACTAACACATACTGTTTTTATTTCATTGGGAATTTCTTATATCAATGGCATCACAGGTCTGGCCTCAAAAAAAATTGCTCTAGGCTAAGTAGAGCTTTCCTTGGATGAGCAAATGAAGTATATTAGCCAGGAAAGTCTTTCCTCCTTTTCTTCTTTCATTCCCTTGCCCCTCCTTATTTCATCCTTTCTCTTTCCTTGGTATATTTACTTGTGAAGCTGGAACTCTTTTGTGTCTTTTGCTACAGCTTTCCTTTGTGAATTGCAGAATTCTCAGAATTGTAATGCTTCTCAGAGGCCCTCTTGGCCAAGCCCTAACTGAACATGATTCCTTCTGCCTACTGCTCCTAGTGCCAAAGAGCAACAGGTTTAGCTCATTTTATAAGGGATAGCTCTTCAAATATATGAAGACTATTATATAGGGAGGTACTATGGGTGAGGCATATTGAATATACTGTTATATGTATGAGGTTATGACTAATGTGTAGGTTAGTTTTGCTGTACTGTTTTTTTTTCTACTTTATTTTTAATCGTTGTTAAAAGAATATTTCCATGGTAGGAGAAAGATTGCAGATATATTTAGCTTTTCAATTTCTTTCTCTGAAATTAGGTTATTTAAACTCACTGATTCTTATTCTATTAATCTGGGCATTTTATGTTTTGCAAATGTTCATCTATTTTGTTTGTTAGTTTTATTGGCACATAATTGAACAAAGTAGTTTCTCATAATTTCCTTTATTTTTTCTTTGTGAGTTATTTTTTATTTTTGATCCTAATAACTTGGTTTTTCTATTTCTCTTAAAAATCAAATAAGCTAAGGTTTATTTAATTTCTAAAACCAGCTCCTAATATTAAGTCTTTTTTTTTCTTTAATTTTATCAATCTTTTCTTTGATATATTTGGAAATGCAGCCAGGTCCCAAATTAGTGCAAACAATAAATTCTCCTGAAGTGTTCGCATCATTTGAATTCACACTACACATTTCCATCGGATTGGAGCCAGTCACTATGCTTTATGAGACTCTACTTTTGAATGAACAATGAAAATACAAATACATGAGACCGTCTCAGTGGATTCATTATTCACATTTATAGAACTTAACTAAACATGATGTAAAAAACTAAAGACATTAACAAAAATAAGATTAAAAAAAATACTTGAAGACTGCTCTTATGCCCTGCTTGCTTTTTCCAATTAGTGTTCTGCTTTATGGTCTGTCTTCCTTCATTCTGACTATCTTTCTTTCCTATGCTGCATCTCTGAGACCTAATACCCTTCACTAGGGTATGGGAACACTTCATGATGACTCTCATCATTGCAAAAGATTACTAGCCCATGGACATTTTCTGAAATCTGACCCATTTGATTCCATGCATATACATTAAGTCATCCCAGGCCTGAACTGCCCCTTGTGATTGTGCCCCCTCATGTTGGCCCTGCCCCTCTTTGAGTTCCTATGAGTAGGAACTGTTTCCTTTAGTCCTTTGATTCCCTTCCTCTCTGGCTCCCGTACAGGGGACATCATGAAATGGGTGCTTTGTAATCAAACTGCTCATACTACAGATGATGTGACAGCCCCGACCAATAAAAGCATTGCTGGGGTCCACCCCTCATGCCCTGCTGCAACCTGCCTCTTACCTGTCCTTGGTTGGCATCTGGGCTGCTGATCACTGCTGACTCTGCCACAGCTGGGTGCTCATTCAAGACATTTTCCACTTCTGAGGGACCAATTCGATACCTGAAGAATGAATTGGATTTTCAGTCTACCTTCATTCAAGAGAAAGGAGACCATGTCTTCCATAGTTGCAGGTCCCCTTTCCAATCTGCCCTCTGCCTTAGAATAACCATTTTGTTGCCTAGAATTCCCAGAAGATATGAGTGAGAAAGTTGTCTATATTGCTGTGCTCCAGAGAAACATCATCAGTGAGACTCTATCTGCTGCTACTCTTTATCTTATTTGACAGGCCCTGATGGCAAAAGGAGACCTTGAGAAGTCATGCAGTCCAGTCGATTGCCTATGAGCTTTCACTCTATTTTGAAGACCTTCAGAAAAATAACGAAACTTTCTAAAACTTCTCTCAGTCATTCATACTAGTAATGTTTCAATAATCCTCCCCACTTGAAGCTGTGTGTGTGTGTGCGCGCGCGCGTGTGTGTGTGTGTGCGTGATATCTAACTGCAGGTTAAGCTTATTTCTGTCCTCTGTGGGGACAGTAAAAGTTCCTGTCCTTTACATAATGACTCTTCCAAGAACAATTTTGGGTTTAGATCACCATTTAGAGGTACATTTATTCAATGATCCACAATTTACCAATCCTCTTGATTTAGGACAAATTATAAAGTGTGAGAGAACTTCTGAGATAGAAGGGACCTTAAAGGTCTTACAATCCAACTTCTCATGTTACAGGTAAAGAAACTAAGGCCTCCAAAAGGGAATTGGTTGTGCCCAAGGCTACAGGTAGTTAACGACAATGTACAACTAGAATCTAGATCTCTAGTCTCCAAGATTAGCACTTTTTGCAATTCACCCAGTGCTTCCTGTTGCCTCACTTTTTCTTAAGTCTAAATCTACGCTTTGGAGAGCTTCTTACATCTGCAAACAGGTTGAATGCAATGGCTTTCATGGCTTGTCCTTTATGCTGATGGCTCTTGCTTCTCTTTTTGTGGCGATGGTTATGAATTTGTGATTTTATCAATGTGGGGAGCTCCCCAGTAATGAAACTGCTTCTACCAATGCAGACTGACAACCTTTCTACAATTTATAATTATAAAGAGTTATATGGGACATAGAGTGTCAGAGGTCTTAAACCTAGATCTTTTGGACTCCAAGGTCAGTTATACTCTCCCACATGAAAAATATATTTTTTAAGTGACCTTAAACTCTGTGTGGCCATATCAGAGAGCCCAGTGTCAAAAAAAGACTTCAGTTTTTTGTTTTTGTTTTTTGGTAAGGCAATTGGGCTTAAGTGACTTGCCCACGGTCACATAGCTAGTGAGTGTTATGTGTCTGAGGTCATATTTGAACTCAAGTCGTCCTGACTCTAGGGCCAGTGCTCTACCCACTGTGCCACCTAGCTGCCCCCAAGACTTCTCTATTTCCCATATTTACCAATATGAATAAAAACTTTCAACCTCTTTTCATATTGGATTTCTTTTTTTAAAATGAGTGATTTGACTGCATAGGCAGATTGAAATCCGCTGGATTTGCAGGATTCTAGGTTACTGCTTTAACCTATTCACTGGTATGTTTAAAGAGCCACCATGGGACAGCTAGGTGGCACAGTGAATAGAGCTCTGGCCTTGGAGTCAGAAAGACCTGAATTCAAATTCAGCCTCAGACACAACACTTACTAGCTGTGTGACCTTGGACAAGTCACTTAACCCTGATTGCTTCACCAAAAAGCAAAAAAAAAAAAATGCCACCTGAATTCCTAAGGATTCAATAGGTTCCGAACCTAATGGTTAGAAAACAAAATGTATCCTGAAATCTGTGATGGGGCACTTTTGCCTTCAGGTCTCTTTGCCCCCAACCAAACTCATGTTCCTTGCAGTACCATCTGGTTTAATTACATTCTGAAATCCCAAATCTTCCTCTCCCCATTTGCCAGAATCAAACCTCACCCCCTTGAGTTGATGACATCATCAGTTCTCCCGATAAACTGGAAATTCCCATCTTTGTCCATGATTGCAATGTCCCCCAGGCGCCAGAAATTCCCTGTGATATTGGCAGCTGTTTTCTCTGCATTGTCCTGGTGATTATATTTTGTGGAAAGATTAGTGTTCCAGGAGAGGCTGTGCTCAAGTTGATTGACATAGCATGAATGTATCTTTCCCTCCCCTCAAGTCAATGGATTGAAATGGAGGAAAGCCTCAGGGATTCCAATTGTTGCATAACACAGACCTGGCTACTATGAATCATTCATTCAATCAATCCCAAAAATGCACCTACTATGTGTCAGAACTGACACTGTTAGGCAATGGGGGAAAAAAAGACAAAAAAGAAACAGTATCTGTTCTCAACCAATTAATTGGTTAATCAACACACATTTATTAAGCACTCACTATGTAGGGGGCAAAAGGGATACAAAGACAAAAAGGAAACAGTGCTCATCCTCAACCAGTTAAGCAATCAGGAAGTATTAATTAAGCATTTGCTATGGGCCAGGAACTGTACTAGGTACTGGGAATACAATTACAAAAATCGAACAGTCCCTACCCTCAAGGAACTTGCATACTCTGGGCATGAGTTTGTAGTGCTGGTCCTCACCTCAGAGCTCATGTTCTCCAAAGGAAGATTTCTTTAACTATTTACATCCATTCTCCAATTATCAGCATCTTCCTTGACCTGATACTATTAACACTTGCTTGGCATAGTTTCATTTATCTGAAGGGGCAGTGTGCTATAATAAGAGGCATGCTGGAGCCAGCTCTGGCTCTAAGGAGCCAGTTGTTAAACTTTCAGCATAAGCTCTCACAGCTTGGAAGCATTGGCGCTTAGAAATTGCAAATGCCACAAATTCATTTGGGAGATAAGAAGACTGAGGATTACTGAGTTTTGATCCAGCGGAAAGGGTTCTCATAGGTGGAGTGGGCAGCAGAAGCAAGGGCTAATCCTGGGGAGTTCCTATCTTCTACTAACTGAGAATTCTGCATTTCTTCCCTGAAATTTCCTGAAGGTCAGAGAAAGAGGTAAGTTAGTTACCCACTTAGGCCACCTAAGCACCAAATCTGAGGTCCAAGGGAAGCTAGTCTGTTGCCCAACTTTCCTGCCTAAGCTTGTTGGGCTTAAGAGAGCATGCCACCTTCATACATTTCCCTATCCTTTTTTTTTTTCTTTTCTTTTCTTTCTTTCTTTTTTTTTTTTTGGCTAGGCAATGGGGTTAAGTGACTTGCCCAAGGTCACACAGCTAGTAAGTATCAAGTGTCTGAGGACAAATTTGAATTCAGGTCCTCCTGAATCCAGGGCCCAGTGCTCTATCCACTGCACCACCTAGCTGCCCTATCCTTGCATTTCCCTATCCTTTATGAGTCTTGTATCCTTGTATGAGCCCCAAAGAGACAGAGAGAGTAGAGAAATGATGCTTTACCACATATCCAGAAAAGAACCCAATAGGATTGATGGGTTTAATTCTGAGACCAATTTCTCCTTCTGTGCCAGGAGGCAGTACATTACCATTCTCATCAATAATCTGGAAAAAGAGGCCCATAAGATAAATGTGAGTGCCACACAAAGCAACTACCCATCACATGCTCCTTTTGTATGCAAATGAGAGATAATGTTTTTGGAAAGTGGCCTTAAATTGCTTAATCATCTACATTGTCAGGCTGGATCAAATCTTTCCAAACCCTTTTCCTATTGGATTAAAAAAAAACAACACTTGAGTGAGCTGTAGCTACATAGACAGAGCAAAATTCACCAAATGATCCATTGTTCCATATGCTTTAGCCACTCCAGTGGTATGTAGGAAGTCCTGGCATTTTCCACAATTTCTTTCCTTCACTTTATACTTCTGATGTAGGTGAGACAGATGGAAGAACTTCCTGACCATTAAAACTATTGAGTATGATTACAAAAGAATGAACGCTTTAAAAATAGGTCCCCTAAACAATCTGCCTTTTAGAGAACTGACCACAAGAAGCTAATCTCTTAATGGTCTGTTCTAGATATGGGAATCTATGAAAAAAAAAGCCTCGGTGTCCAAACTGGACCCACGGACAAAAGGGCCAACAAACCTGGACGTCGTAATTCTGAACTGCCTTCCCCATGAAGCCAGGCATGCTTTCCTCTGTCCTGGACCTGCAAGTGATTCCCTGTGGAAAGCACAGTGAAATGGGACAGTGAAATACAGGGAGTCGTATGGAGGGATAGGGGCATTGTTGCTATAATAGACAGCCCAGCAAAAGAGACCAGTCCAGGCACACCCGTGAAGTTGGTGAAGTGTGTCTCTTTTATCTCATTTCCAATGCCATCCCTTTGCTCTTGTTATCCTACCCATTTCCCCACGCTCCTTTCCCCAAATGTCCTGTATTTCCCATTTGTTTAAGGTCTGGTTTTCAGCTAGAACTCACAGTTGGAAATCAATATGAGAAATGAGTCCTTCTTAAGAATTTGGGACTAATTCAGATCAATTCAATAAACATGAAAGACTCAACATAGTGAGGTAGAATGAACATGGGCTTGGAGTCAGAAGAGTTGGGTTTTAGTCCTGATTCTGACACTTACTAATTGTGTGACCTAGCACAAATTGTGCTGCTTCTCTCAATTTCAGGCCTCCCATCTTTAAAATGGATGTCATGGATGGATGTCATAGAGCTAGTAACAGAGGATAGAGCCCTGGACCTGGAGCCAGGAAGACATGAGCTCAAAGCCCACTTCAGACATTTAGTAGCTGTGTGATCCTGGGTAAGTCACTTAACCTCTGACTCAGTTTTCTCAACTGTAAAATGGGGTTGATAATAGCACCTATCTCCCAGGGTCGTTATGAGAATCAAATGAAATATTTGTAAATTTATTTAGAAACCTTAAATGCAATGTTATTATTATTACTAGATTAGACCCCAGAAGCTCAGTCCAACCCCTTCATTTAACATACAAGGTAGGTTAATTGATTTACCCATGTTCATGCAGGTGGTAAGTGACAGGGGCAAAATTTAAACCCAATCCTCTGATTCTGAAGCTGGTGCTCTTTCCTTAATACATGCTGCCCTTTCTCTGTTTCTGTTGAGGGTGATAGTACATGAATCATCTACCTCAAAGGCAGGACCAAATGAAAGCACCTTACATGTGTAAAGTGACTTGTAACTATAACATTCTATAAAATATGAATTATTACTCACTCAGGATCTTTTATGGACAAAACACTGTGCTCAAGACAGCAGTGGGGGGAGGATTGAAAAAACAACAACCCAGGATATAGTCCCTGGTTTCTGACTACCATCACTACATCATGAGGTTCTCAGGCTATACTCACTTTACCCCGGGTTCTTTTATGTACTCTCCAAACTTCTCCCTCTCCCGGCTAGCAGCCTCACCCCCTTTGCTGCTTACTAGCTCTCTGTTAAGTATTATTTCTCCCATTAGAAGATAAACTTCTTAAATATGTGGCTTTTTTTTTTTTTACATCTCTAATGCTTAGCATGGTACCTGGCAGAGAAGGCCTTGCTCCCCTCATTTGCTTCCCTCCCTCCCTCCTTTCTTTCCTTCTCTGTCCCCTTTCCTCCTTCTTCCTTTCCCTCTCTCTCTTTCCATCCTTTCTTTTTTCCCTCCCTCCCTCCCTCCTTCCCTCCCTTTATCAATCCTTCCCTTTCTTCCTTCTATCTTTTTTCTCTCTGTCTCTGTCTCTCTTTCACACACACACTTCAAAGTTTAGTAGTCTTGTCTGAGAGAGAAGATGGGAGCAGAAGTAACCAGGTAGAGTGTGAAAATGCATGAGAAGCGTGCTATGGGAATTCAGAGGGAGAAGAATAATTTTTGGTTTGGAGAAATTGACCAGAACAGATCAGGGAAAAGTCATTGAGGAGGTAGGTATTGAGGCAAGCCTTGAAATAAGTAGCAATTCAGCTGGCAGAGACAGACATTGCAGGTACAAGAAACAGATGGAACACAGACTTAGAGGCAGAAAAATGCTGGATTGGTTCAGGGAATAGCAAGTAGTTCAGTTTGGCTGAAAAGGAAATAGATTCATGGATCGAGAGTGGAAGGAACTTTAGAGACCATCATATCCAACCCCTCGTTTTACATATGAGAAAACTGAGGCCTAGAGAGATTGGGACTTGCCTAAGGTCACATAGTTAAGTGTCTGATGCAGTATTCAAACTCAGGTTTTCCTAACTGCAAGTCCAGTGATCTATTCACTACGCCACTTGGGAGCATTATGGTTGGATGTAAAATGAGAAAGATAGATTGGATTCAAATTGTGGAGAGACATGATGAAAAATTCTATTCACCTCCAGAGTGAAAACTGATGAACTCTGAGTGCAGATTCAAGTATACTAGTTTCACTTTATTTTTCTTTTCTTTTTAAAAATTTTTAACATCCATTTAAAAAACTTTTTAATTCCAAATTCTTTCCCTCCCTCCTTCCCCTTCTCCACCCTTGAAAAAATTATACATATGCAGTCATGTAAAACATATTTCCGTATGTTATGTTGCAAAAGAAAACACAGAAAAAAATGACCCAAGAAAAAAAAGAGAGTAAAAAAAGTACACTTCGATCTGCATTCAGATTCCAGTTCTTTCTCTGGAGGTAGATAGCATTTGTCATCATAAGTCCTTCAGAATTGTCTTGGATCATTGTATTGAAGCTAAGTTATTCACAGTTGATGACTGTGTAATATTGCTGTTACTATGTACAGTGTTCTACTGGTTCTGTTCACTTCACTTTATATTAGTTCATATAGGTCTTCCCAGGTTTTTCTGAAACCATGCTGCTTGTTATTTCTTATAGCATAATATTATTCCATCACAGTCATATTCCACAACTTGTTCAGCCATTCTCCAATTGATGGATGTCCCCTCAATTTCCAATTCTTTGCCACCACAAAAAGAGCCACTACAAATAGTTTTGTCCTTTTCCTTTTTTAAAAATCTCTTTGAGATATAAATCTGGTATTGGTGGTATTGCTGGGTCAAAGGGTTTGCACAGTTTTATAGCCCTTTGGGCATAGTTCTAAATCAGTCTCTAGAATGGTTGAATTAGTTCACAACTCCACCAACAGTGCATTAGTGTCCCAATTTTTCCACACCCTCTCCAGCATTTGGTCATTTTTCTTTTCTGTCATATTAGCCAATCTGATAGGTGTCAAGTGGTACACTTTATTTTTCTTGTTTTTTTCCCTAATAAGTAGTATTTTATGTTTTCCAATTACATGTAAAGATAGTTTTCAAAATTCATTTTTTATAAGATTTCAAGTTCCAACATTTTCTCCCTCTTTCCTTTCCTTCTCCCTCCCCAAGATGTCAAGCAATCTGATATAGGTTATACATGCACAGTCATGTTAAACATATTTCCAGATTAGTCATGTTGTAAATGCTTTTTTCCCCTACATGGTTAATACGGACATATGTTTTGCATGACTTAGCATATATAATTGATATCATTTTGCTTGCTTTCTCAATGGATAGGGGAGGAGTTGGAGGCAGGGAGAGAATTTGGAACTCAAAATTTAAAATAAATGAATTTTAAAAATAAATGAATAAATACATAAATACATAAAAAACAAATTGTGGAGTGACTTGGATTCTAGGCTAAGAGGACTGTTCTCAGCTTAGAAGGCAACAAGGAGCTACTAATGGTTTTTGAGCACAAATGTTCTCAGTTTTATGCATTGGAAACATTAATACATCGGCTATGTGATCAGAGAGGGGAGAGGCTGGAGGCATGAAGATGGATTAAGGTGAATAGTAAGGTCATGCTTTGGATGAAGGACTGGAGCTAGAGTCTGAAAGACCTGAGTTCAACTCTGGCTTCAGACATTTAGTAGCTGTGTGATTCTGGGCAAGTCATTTAACCTCTGTTTGTCTCAGTTTCCTCATCTATAAAATGGAGATCATTATGAAACCTGTTTTCCAGGGTTGTTATGAGAACAAAATGAGATAATATTTATAAAGCCTTTGCAAACATTTAAAATTGTTTCTATTTTAGTTATTATTATTATTAGATTAAAATAATTCAGGCAATAGGTAACGAATACATGAACCAGAGTGGTTAAACTGAGTGTAGAAAGGAAGTGGTAGATGGGAAAGCTATATAAGTTGATGCAACTTGGCGATAAAAGCTTAGGGTGACTTTTCCAGGGATATTTGGATTTTAATAGGAGATTCGGTAAGAATATCTGATTTCTCCAAATGGACTGGCAATAGTGAAACTTCAGGGACTAAGGCAGCCCTTTCTGTGACCTCTCAAATCCTATCCACATGTTGACATTCACTTGCTCTTTCACCTATAACATCAGACATATGCTCAAAGCTTAGGTTAACTCAAAGCCTGTTACCATGTTGGGGGATGTGGGGATGGTGTGCTTGCTGTGTGATTTGTGAATTTTGTCACGTGGTCATGAGCTCTACTCACGTTTCCCACAGTCCTTTCTGCCCTTGCCAGTCTATAGGTCAACCTATAGCTCCTGTTCAGATATCTTTAAACATTCAGCCAAATGGGAGGCTGCTAGCCAGCACAGTCCATAGCAGAAAGAAGGGGAAATTATTACATGGAAGACAAGAAAATCAAGGAGATAATTGATCTATGAGAGTAAGTTGCCAACCAACTTAACAAGCCTATTCTGAGGCTGATTGTTGGCAGCAGATTAAAGTAGAGTGAGCCCAGGCTAGTATTCTTTTATTGGCCCTTGTCTGTAATAGCCTTTGACTCTAAAGCCAGCTTTGTTAGGAGAGATAGCAAAGGAGCCAGGTGAGACCTTATTGTGGCAGATCATTTCAGTTTTGGAGAGTCTAGCTACCGGGTGACTTTCTCTACACATCTGTTTGTATCCCACTGCTGTGTCCATCCCTAGAAAAGGTCTTTGTGCATTGGGCTATACTTCAAGTTGCTGAAAGCCTCAGGCATACCATGAAGAGCTACACATTGATGACACTATGTCACAAAGTCATTGACAGCTAAGTACTTTACTCTGTTCTTCTCTGTTGTCAGTCTCAGGATCTAGCAGTGGGTAGGGGAGAGAAGCAGTAAAAAGTGGCAGGCAGAGGAGGAAGAGGCTAGGCAAAGATATCATTAAATACTTTAGGGCAAAAAAAAAGGAAAAAAGAAATGATTAAAAGCATCTTTATGTCAATCCCACCCTGATTCGCATCTGGCTTTTAAGCTAATTGCCTTATTTGATTCAAATATGTTCTCTAGGCAGGAATATCTGACAGTGTAGGATTTCAGAAAATGTAAGTGTGTGCATGTTTATTTTCTGTTCTAGAAATCCTGGAAACAAGTTTTAAAAACTACTCTTGGGTCATGCTGCCTACAGCTAAAGGTGAGAGAACATACAGTTTCTGTCTGTCCATAGATTTCCTTAATATTCATCCCAGTCTGCATCTCCCACTGTTTCAGGGTTGCAGGGAGGAGGGTCTCTCCGGAGCTGAGGCAGAAGCGAAGGCTTTGGAACTTGTAACTGAACAACAAAAACAAAAAAGAAAACAAACAATTGTTCTGAGTCCTATGGGAAACTCTTTTAGGGAACAAAATTGTCCTGAGCCCCCAAAGTTCCATAAGTAATGAATTTCTGTCCCAGGAGCTATGCTGGGAATGGATAGAATATAAAGCTACAAGGTTCCCCAGTTAAGATGGAATTGGTGGTAGTGGGGACCAGAGATATTAGAATAGTGAGAAATCTGGTCTTTGGAGATATTTGTGGTTTTCACTGCATTGGGACCAAGGACTGTTTGAATGTGTAGCATTTGAAAGCAATATTGCTGCTCTCTGCCTTCTCTGATACTCAGTAGTCTACTGGATTATAAAAAGAACCCTGGACTAGGAGTCAGAGGACCCGAGTTCCCTGAGGACCTGAGTTCTAGTGTTATTTACTCACTGTGTGACTCTTGGAAAACCATTAAACTTCTTCAGCCTTCAGTTCCCTCATTTCTCATAAGGAGTAAAGAAGCTGGGGTGGGGGGCATAGGGGCACTAGGAGTCTGGAAGACCAGAACACTTGCACAGGTGGTGCAAACATTATTTGTATGCTGGGGTAGCCAGGAGGAAGCTTGGGATGAGGGAATGAAATTTGCTTTGGAAAACACAAAACGAATAGCTTGTATTTGGGGCAGCTCCATGTTCCTCTTGCGCCTTTTCTTTCCTGTCTCTCCCTTATCCCAAGGCATCTTGTGCCTTCATACTACCAATACCTCCTTTCTATACAGTACCCCAAGGTAGTACAATGGAGATAGTCAGAGGGTCTGAGTTAAAATTTCCCCTTTACTGTGTGACCTTGGAAGAATCACATCACCTACTTAGACCTCAGTTTCCTCACTTATAAAATGAGAGAGTTGAACTAGATGACCACTGAGGTCCATTCGACCTCTTTAACCTTCCTGCCTTTCTAAGGCAGGATCCTTGCATTTCTGCCCTTCCATCAAAACTTTCTTGTACCATACATCATTCTTACTGGGCTGTGTTCTTTCTAATTCACCTTGAGGTGTTAATAACCAGAAACAATTTGAGCTGTCACTCTGCCTCATGGCATTTGCAATTTAATAATAATAGTTAGCATTTCCATAGCACTTTGAGGTTTACAAAGTACTTTACAACTATTAGCTCATTTGATCTCTCCAATAACCTTAGGACGTAGGTGCTATTATTACCCTCATTTTATGGATGAGGAAACTGAGGCTAAGATAGGATAAATGACTCAGCCAGGGCCACACAGCTGGTAAGTGTCTCAGGCTGGATTTGAACTCAGGTCTTTCTGCCTCCAAGTCCAGTTGTATATCTAACTGTGGCCTTCTTAGCTTAACGGAAAAGGAGCTGACTAATGGCAGAGTTTTGGGTTGCTAGGGAGGCTGGTGAAGGAAATTCTCAGCAGCAGGGAGAGTAGTTGGGAGCCCTTCACATCCCAATAGCCAGACAGTGAGAAGCCAAGGACCTCAGTTCAAATCCCAGTCCTGATGCTTACTACCATAGTGATTTAAAGTCAGTCTCTCTGAGCCTCATTTTACTTGTCTATAAAAGGAGGAGGTTGGATGAGATAAGACTTCTAAAGTCCCTTCTAATTTTAAATCTATGATCCACTGAAAATAATAATAATGATGAAGATGATATTGGTAATAATGATAATGATATATTTGTATAGAGATTTAAGGTTAGCAAAGTGTTTTGCAAATATTGTCTCATTTGATACTCAGAACAACCCTGTGAACCAGTTGCTATTATTATCTCCACTTTACAGAAGAAGAAACTGAGGCTAAGAGAGTTTAAATGATTTGTGCAAAATAGTAAGAATTCAGGCCTTCCTCACTCTGGGTCCAACACTCTATCCCCTATTGCCTCCTGATAGACACTTGACTAGGATATGTAAGCACACATGTGACCATGCATGCGCACACACACACACACACACACACACACACACACAGAGTCCACTAGCAACCTCTTTAAAGCAGGATAAAATCCCATTTTGGAAACAGATGCTTCATTTGCTTCATCTGCATGCCTACTGCAGTGGTGGATCTTAGCAGCAAACCCTCATTCCAGGAAAAATGCTTTTGTCTGAGGATGGGCAAGGCTGAGGATGGACTAATGACCTAGGATGAACCTTGCCAACTTACAGGCAATGGATGACATCACCTACCTGGTGAGATCTTGTTTTAGCAGCATCTGGTATAACATAGGAGGTGCCAGCATGATATTGATGGGATATCTGGAGAGAGTCTGGTGAATAAGAACGAGGAGATGGCTCAGATGTTGAACCTTGAGTCAATTATCAAACTAATATCAGATCTTTGAATTGGTGGATTTTGATATAAAGAGCATAGAGAGCAAGTCCCTAAATAATACCCATATTCTAATATGGAACTCAAGATGAGGAGTAACATTTCTTTTAATGCTACTGCAGTTCCAATGTCAAGTCATAGTTTCATAGATCCAGAAGCAAAAGGGACCACAGATCCTGTTTAGTCTGATCCCCTCATTTTACAGCACAAGGAACTGAGGTGCAGAGGGGTTAAGTGATTTGCCTAAGTTCCCATAGTAAGTGACAGAGTTACATGACTCCAAATTCCTGCTCTTTGCATTGAAGCACTCTGCCTCTCTGTAAGACTCACTATGTATTTTTATTTTATTTGGGACTCCCTCCTCCCTGGTAGGAATAAGGAAAGAACAAAGAAACCAAGGGGAAAGTTCATCAAGGCCAGTGAAGTCACATGTTTGTTTTTGGTGGCCTCCTACTTCCCCTTTCAGATCCTCTTTCCCTTCTTCTGGTGTTTCCCATTGAGCTACCCCATCAGGTTCCTGAATAGAATTTAGGAAGTGGCTGATAATAATTTAGGGTGATACTCATCTCAGAGATATATGCGTTTCAATAGGGGACTCTGGACCAAAGAGCCTTCAAGAGACAAAAAAGTGAGCTTCTTAATAGTTCCAGGGACTGGGGGTAGAAGAGAAGAAAATATTGCTCATACATTTAGAGCTGGAAGGGATCTCGGTGGTCATCAAGATCAATTTCCTCCTTTCTACATAAGAAGAGACTGAGGCCCAGAGAAGTTAAATGATTTGCCCAACATCTCATAGGTAATAATGGCAGGTTTTGAACCCAGTTCTTGTGACACTTAATAAGATGCTTTTTTTTTGGTGAGTCAGTGGGGGTTAAGTGACTTGCCCAGAGTCACACAGCTAGTGAGTGCTATGTGTCTGAGGTCAGATTTGATCTCAGATCCTCCTAACTCCAGGGGCAGTGCTCCGTGCCACCCAGCTGCTCCTAGTGCTTTTCTTGCTATACTTATTCTACCTTCCTCAGGTTAGAGGAATTTTTCTGGAAGCCTCTGCCCAACACAAGTGAGGTGATTTCCTCCTCTTCTATGTCAGATTGGCCATAAATGCATAGTTAGTGATTGAAAAAGTGACTTCTTCCTCAGAAAAAAATGCTTTCCAAGACCAGGGGAGGGCAGTCATGCAGGAATTTGAAGGGCATTAATCTCATAGTAAGGTACTGAGAACCTTATATGCCCAGTTGGGCATTACTATGTACTCAAAATATAGAAAAGAGTACAGAGGTTCATTAGGCCAATCTGAAGGAAAAAGTTGTGCGAACTGTGATGTCCATTCCCCTTTTTCACCCTTCCCTCCACCAAGGAAACATTTCAGAAAAGGAAAATAAATTGTTCATTCATGGATCTTCTGGAATGCAAGGACTGCTGGGAGACAGTGCTGATGTCTGCAAATAAATCTCATAGTAAGAAATCGAGAGCCATCTACTGACTGAACATATTAGCTGCTCTTCCTTCCATTCGACTAGTGTCTGTTTCCTGTCAAAGGAGATCCCAAGCATTTATAAACTTAGCCCAAAAATGTCTAAGTGAGTTAGTACCTCTCTGTGTCAAAAGATGACACGATCTATTGGAAAGGACATTGGAAGAGGGGTGCAGTAGAAAGATTGCTGACTCTGGAGTATCAGACTTACAATCCTGTCATTGACTCTATGACCTTGGGCAAGTCACAGCCTCTCTGGACCTCAGTGTCCTCATTTGTAAAATGACCAGGGAAGACTTGATAGGCTTTATTGTCCCCTTCCAGTTCTAGGCCATGACTGTGAGTCAGGACACCTGGGTTCTATTCCTAAGTCACTCTTTGGAAGTGAAGAATGTTATATCCTCAGCACCTAACACAGTGTTGTTGTTTAGCAGTTTTTCAGTCGTATCCAACTCTCCACGAGAGAACATCTTAGGGTTTTCTTGACAAGGGTACTGGCTTGCTATTTCCTTCTCCAGCTCATTTTACAGATGAGAAACTGAGGCAAACAGGGGTAAGTGACTTGCCCAGAGTCACACAGCTAGGAAGTGTCTGAGGGCAGATTTGAAATCAGGTTTTCCTGACTCCAGGACTGATACTCTATCTCCTGCACTACCTAGCGGTCCCATCTAGCATGGTACCTGGCATTCAATAAGTGTTTGATGATTGACTGATAGTTTTGAGCAAGTCCCTTTAACTCTGGGTCTTAGCTTCTTATCTTGGAAGGTGATATGATGTAGAGGGTGTGGAGTCATGAAGATATAGATTAAAATCCCATCTCTGACATTAACTAACTGTGTGATCTTGGGTAAGTCACTTAACCTCAGTTTCCCCTTTTATAAAATAAGGATAATAACACTTGCAGTGCCTAACAACTGCAACAATAAATATTTGTAGCAGCAGCAACAACAGCCGGGTACAGTGAAACATGCAATGGCCTCTGGAATCCATGGATCTGGGTTCAAATCTCCATTTTTATTCTCTGTATGACCTTGGGCATGACATTCAGTCTCAATTCCCTCACTCATAAAACAAAGGAGTTGGACTAGGTTCCCCCCAAGGTTCCTGTGCCCCAATGTAGCATCTGAATGTTTGCAAAGCATGTTGCATGCAAACCGTCAAAGATTATATATAAATGTCAGCTTGCCATCAAATAGGGTTTATTATGGAGAGCAAATGAAATAATATATGAGAAAGGATTTTAAAGCAGTACAAGTGCTACACAAGCCTATAAAGGGCACAGCCCTACTTGGCATAGCACTTGTGCCAAGGGTGGTAGAGGTAGGGAAGTACTAAAGGATTTAAAAAAGAGAGTTGGGGCAGTTGTCGAGTGACAGGGCCGTAGACAGCAAGGAAGAGCATCTGGGACATGACAGACCTTTAAGAGTTTTTTTCTTTCAATTCTTTTTTTTTTTTAAGGCAATTGGGGTTAAGTGACTTGCCCAGGGTCACACAGCTACTAAGTGTCAAGTGTTTGGTCTGAGGCCGGACTTGAACTTCAGGGCCGGTGCTTTGTCCACTGTGCCACCTAGCTGCCTCCGGACCTTTAAGATTAATGCTGAGGAGAACAACAGGTTATGCCATGATATGTCCCTTATGGCTTCAACAGACTCTGAGGCTAGCAGGACTCGCCTTGTAGGGCTTGTCCTCAGTTCCTAGACAAAAATAGGGTTAAGGATGCAGATGCATTTTCGCAAGCAGACAGAGGTGATTTTCCAAATCATAACTCCAGGATGAGATATCAGTGGGGTGTTTCTGGGCCAGGACTCGATGATCCTGTATATTCGCTCCTGCATCAGAGGACTTTGGATTCATCCTCGCCAACCCCCACGCATTAGTTCCAAACTTACATTGACGATAACCTGTGGGTCCATCCTTGGCAAATGGTGGATAAATGAGCATGCTCCAGATGTCCAGGGTTCCAGAGATGTCCCCAGTAAGTTGAGAATCCAACCTGTATCCGTTATACTCCACATTGTTTCTGAGGTTTTCAAATCAATCCAACTTTTGTCCCTGCGGAAAGCAAAAGTGTTTGCATGCTTCTGTATGAGGTGCCAGCACGTAATTGAATGTACATGTGGAAAAGCAGCTCACAACTTGGGTGGGGGAGGTGGGGAGTGATGGAGGCTTATGTGGATTCTAGATTATCTGCTCTAACCTCAAGTGAATGAGTTACATACTCCAGTATACCTCTGTTGTCCTGTCTGTAAGATTGGGGGCATCTTCTTTCCTCTCCTGGCTTTATAGAAACTTTGTGATAGGGGATGCAAAGTACCCAGAGCACAGTCAGCAGCTATATGCTGGGAGAGATCTGGACCCCTTTGGGAAGGGTGGCATGGAACATAACCTCCCAGTTGGGTTGGGTGCCAGCAGACTTTTCATGCGGTCAATAGAACTTAGGTAAGTGAGAAGAGAATAAGGGAAGAGAAGAGAAGAGAAGAGAAGAGAAGAGAAGAGAAGAGAAGAGAAGAGAAGAGAAGAGAAGAGAAGAGAAGAGAAGAGAAGAGAAGAGAGGAGAAGAGAAGAGAAGAGAGGAGAAGAGAAACAAGACCACCTTTATGTGAGGCACCAGAAGCACTGATATTTGTGAAGTTTTATGTTTGCATAGTTCATGGTACCCTGGCTCTGTCATTAACTAGCAGGTTGACCTTGGACCAGGCCTCCTCCCCGAGCCTGTTTCCTCACATGTAAAATGAGAATAATAATCCCTATCCTATCTACCACATAAGGGTATCAGGAGATTCAGATGAGACAAATCAGTTTGAAACATTAAAAGCACTATAAAAATATAAGGAATTCTTAATTCAAGAAGCTCTGATATGAACGTCCCTTAATTAAATGGGTGAAATAGAAATTTTTTTCCCATATTGGGTGGAAGGGACACAGATTCAGAGAATATATGAGCTGGAAGGGACCTTCAAGGTTCTCCCAGTATTGCATGTTTCCCATTGTCCCACAGTGGGGAGGGAAGGAGTATCTTTTTAGAGCTGAAAGCAAGCTCAGAGGTCAAAGAATCTTATTTCATAATATTAAAAATTTAGAGCTGGAAGGAAATGTAGAAGTTATTAAGTCCAACCTCTTCATTTTAGAGATAAGAAAACTGAGGCCCAGAAGTAAAGTGACTTATACCAAGTCACATAGATAGTACATCAAGCAGCCAGGATTCAAACCCTGGCCCACTATATCCAATGCTCATTTTTTTTTTGAGTTGCCATTTTTTTAGTCATTTCTGACTCCATTTAGGGGTTTTCTTGGCAAAGATCCTGGAGTGGTTTGTCATTTTCTTCCCCAGCTTATTTTACAGATGAAGAAAGTGAAGCAAATAAGGTTAAGTGACTTGCCCAGGGTCACACAACTATTAAGTATCTGAGGCCAGATTTGAACTCAGGAAGATGAGTCTTCTCCAGGTGGCACTCTATCCCCTGCACCGCCTAGCTGCCCCTAAAGCTAATTTACATGCTTTCTACCATGTTCAGTCTCCAACATATTTTTGTACTCTCTTGCAATCCTTAGAAGTAGGAACATGGACTGCTTCTGACTGAGTCCTCATAGGGGATAATAGGATAAAACCGACTTATCTCTGTTTCTCTCTCTCTCTCTCTCTCTCTCTCTCTCTCTCTCTCTCTCTCTCTCTCTCTCTCTTTCTCTCTCCCTCTGTCTCTGTCTCACTCTGTCTCTCTCCCTGTCTCTCTGTCTCTCTCTGTGTGTCTCTCTCTCCTATGTTGTCTTGCTTAAGCAACTATTGGGGAGAGGGGAGGATGTGATGTAATAGTGGTGGGGAATTTCTGTTCCCTCCTTACAAAGGACAAAACAAAGTGAGTGGGAAGGATTTAGACTGACTAACAGAAAAACTTGCTAACCAGCTAGCTAAGTGGCATAGTGGCTAGGTGATGTGCCTGGAGTCAGGAGCTGTGTGACCCTGGTCAAGAAACTTAACTTCAGTTTCCTCATCTGTAAAATGGGGATAATAATAGCACCTACCTCCTAGGGCAGTTATTTGGATCAAATGAGATAATAGTTGTAAAGCACTTAGCACAGTGCCTGACACCTATATAAATGTTACTTATTGTTATCTCTGGGAGATATAAAATGTTTCTCTTCCAAAGAGACTTAAGCAATCATTGAATAAATATTAAATGCTTACCTAAATGTGCCAGGCATATAAGCAAAGCTAATGGTCTTCCTAGGAGGGGTTTCAATTCAGTCCTGCCCAAAATATAGGGGGATGGGCCCAATAACATCTCAAAACCCCCTGAGATTCTCTTTTGGGTAAAGAAGTCTCCTTACCTAGCATCTATCTTGGATTTTAAGCCTAGGCTCCCATGGGAATGCTCGGCCATCTTGGGGAAGCCAGTGGTCCCACTGGTGAAAAAGATGGTTAGTGCTTCTGAACTCTCAGTTTCTACACAGCTGTGTGTAGTGGAGGCCTCTCTGAAAGACAAATCCACACATGCTCAGCACCCAGGCAGAACTCCAGAAATCAATCTGTCTGATCCACTTTTTCTTCTGAAATGAGGCTCCCTGGCAAATACTAGCGACCTTGGGTGACCTTAAGTTGTCAGTTCTGAAGGTCTTTTGGTTTCTAGGCCTGAGTAAGAAGGATGCTTCACTTAGGCCAAATAAATGTCCATTTAGAGACTGGAACAGTTGGTTGTCGATAAGTATCAACTCAGCAGGTATTCTAACCCTTGCTTGGCAGTGACCTGCATCTAGTTCTCTCACTTCCAAAGTGGTATCAACAGCTCTGTTATCTCATTTTGCTGCTTCTATCCCAAATTGGAAATGCCAAGAATTTCAAGGCAAGAATCCCCATGAAAATGGGTGCCCAAAGCAATCATAGAGGCAGCTGCATGGTAAATGCCATACGGTAAGGAAGGAAAGAGAAACAACTCCTTCCTTCCAAAACTTATAGCCCAGGATGCCCTGTGGTGAAATGAAGCTGCAGAAAATTATTCTTCAGTCCTTTCTATCTTACTTTTCAGTGACTTCCTCCCCTTATGGGCACTCTCCCTTTCTCCTCTAAGGCAACTGACATACTTTTACTACTCTGAGCCTCTTGTCCAGGCTTCACATCTTTGGATAGACCCTGACTCTGAGATTCTCTTCTCTTATTTAGTTAGTTATGTGTCACATTCTGTTTGGAGCTATTCCCAGGTAACTTTCACGTTGGAAAGAATTGGATTGGTCTTTGGTCTAAGAGAGATGGCCAAGTGACCACCATTTTATTAATAATGTATGGCTTTATTAATAAAATGATTAAATTACCCAAAAATATTTGGATCAATTTATTCCTTTAATTGGCTACCTTCTCAAAAAGGTTTGTATTTCAAAACAAAGGAATCAATCACTAATGGTAGAATTTTAGGGGCATTAGCAGGGTGGTTAGGGCACTTCCCAGTGATCCTTCAGTCACACAAAGGTGACTGCCAACTCCACCTGCTCTAAAAGCAAGACCCATTGTAGTCTGTAAGAGGAACTTAAAATTAGGCCTAAGGAAAGCTTTTGGCATAGATAGGGCTCTTTCCTTCAAGAAACACAGGTTCAAGGTTGTTACAGAATGAATAAGATCCAGACATTCACCGTAGTAGTCTTCTGAAGTCCATCCATCCATCATGTCTGTTTTCTGACACTAGGACTTTGACTTTCAGGGCAGGGCAGTCAGGTGCCACTGCATCCACAGCGAGAGCCAAAGCTTCACTGGTTATGATGCATTTGGCTTTTGAGCTCTGCAGCCGGTAGAGAATGTCTTTTGCTGTCAGCATAGGGGTCCCAGGAATGAATACAAGTCCTAGAAGAAGCAAGTTCATTGAATAATTCCTTTGATAAATAATGATTGAATGTCTAATTTGTACAAGGTGGGGTGCTAAGAACTACTAGTAATATAAATAACATTATGATGTGGCCCCTATTCCCAGTGAGCTTATGGTTTATTAGATGAGATGACATGTACATATATAACCATAATACAAAAAAAGACTATGATAAAAGTACAAAGTGCTAACACATTTATAAAGTACAAAGTGTACAAAGGTGCCATATATAAGGTACTTTATCAAAGGTACAAAGTGTTAATACATTTTTTAAACAAGTAATTAAAATTAATTTAGAATGGAGAGGATTCCCACGTAACTTATAGATTAGATTATACCTGTGAGGTTCCTTCCAACTCCAAAATTTAATGATTCTTTGATTTTTATGAGGTCACTTTTGACTCATCAGGATAAATGGTAGCAGGAATTGTTTTTCCCCAGCAGAATCAGATGTTATCTTTAAATAACGGCAGTGACCGGGAAATGTTGGGTAAGTATGAGATATAGACAGCCAGAGTCCGTAGAATGAAGTGAAAAAATCCTAAGGCTACCAGACAGAATTAGCATAGGATCAGGCCACTGTGATTCCCTCCTCTGGTTCACATGCTCTTCCACAAAGCAGCAAAAAGCAAAGAGTCCAGTGTCTCTAGCCAGCAGTTTGCCTGCTCAGAACTTGCTGCCGCTTCAGTGAGGGCTGCCTAAAGGTGACATTGTGATTGAAGGGAGTCGATTTGTCTTTGGTGCTTTCCCACTCCTTATTTCAGCCCTGGGATTTCAAAGAATACCTTATTATTTGGATGTCTATCCTTAGTTTTTTCACAAAAACTTTTAGTCACTGGGCCTGCAAATATCATTTAGAAGTTAACTTGCATGAAAAGTGTATTGTACATTGATATCATTTTAAAGTACAACCTCTTGAAAAGCCAATGGAATTTAAATGAAGGGTTCTGGAGTATTGAAAAAAAGTAAATACCTAAAAGAATGAATCTTTAATGGTGGAATTTTAGATAGCCGATGGAAGATAGTTTTTGCTTTGTTTTTGTTTTTGGCAGGAGCCTTCTTGGCTGTCATGTTGGAAAACATCTGATAAATTCATTCACTTAAAATGTTACCTTTGGACATTTGTCATCTTTTAAAAAATTGATAAATTTTATTTTGATATATTACAAAACCTCCTGGCCTAAATTCAAATGAATTCCCCCAAATGTACAGGCCGTGAAAACAGTTAAGTAAATAAAGAACGATTGTGTCTGATAATATTTGCAATCTTGCATTTTAATAATTTTCCGTTTCTCAAAAGAAAGGGCAGATGTTTGCTTTATAAGTTAGTATCAGTGTTGTATAATATTTTTGATCTGGGTTTCATTACCATTTCAAATTTTGTTCATTTATATTGTTCTAGTAATTTTGTAAATTGTCCATTTGGTTCTGTTTTTATCACTCTGCATCCTTTCACATGAGATTTCACATATTTGAATTCTTACTAATCATGCTTCATGGTACTGTAATATCCTATCATGCTGGCATGCTACAATTTGTGCAGCCATTCTCCTAATGTTGGATTCATTTTGTTCCCAATATTTTGCTATATCAAAACAAAGCTGCTATGAATGTATTCATATAGACAGGCCTTCTCATTTTCTTTTTTTTCCTCTATAGACTGTTTTGGCGGTATAGACCTAATAAAGAGATTACTAGGTGAAAGAGTATGAGTGACTTATGCACTTCCATGATTTTAAAATTATTTTTCAGTGGTTGAACAGTTACACCACAGCAAGTTAATGCGCTTGTCTTTCTATGTCTCATGAACCCTGAAAAACTGCATTTTTCCACATTTTGTCAACTTTGCCAGTTTGATGGGTGATACCTCAGAGTTGATTTCATCTTTATTTCTTTGATAATTGTGTGGGCAGTGTGGATAGTGAACTAGCTTAGTAACAAGGAAAACTTTGGTTTAAGTCTTGCCTCTGACATATACTACCAATTTAACCCTGGGCAAGTCAATTAAACTGCAAGTTCTCTAGACAACTCTGTAAGATGGTAAGTTGCAGAGAAGGTACCAATCTGCGTGGGTGGAGGAAATTCTCTTACTGAGAAGCTCCCTCTACCAATGAAATCATAGGTTGAGCCCTTTACCCTTCTGTGATGATCAGTGCTTTTAAACTTTTTTTTTAAAAGTTTTTGCTTTTGAGTTCATAATTTGTGTTTTCTCTTTTGAGAAATTTTTTCCTATCTCCCTACTATTTGGGTATTGTCGAATAATTCAGTTGCATCTATCAATTTGTATCAATTCCCTGTAGATTTTGGATGGAAGACTTTTATCAGAAAATTTTTTTTGGGGGGCAGATATTGTCCCCAGTCCATATTTTTAAATTCTTTTTTGATGAGGCAATTGGGGGTAAGTGACTTGCCTAGGGTCACACAGCTAGTGAATATCACATGTCTGAGGCTAGATTTGAACTCAGGTCTTCCTGATTTCTGGGGTGGTGGGCTATCCACTTATATTTAGCTAAAATGCTATCCAGTTCTCCCAGTTGAATAAACAGGTTGTTTCTTTAGTACTTTGTTTTCTTGAAGTTATCGGAGGCTATGCTCCTATAAGCATTTCTTTCTAAATCTTACTTATTTAATCTATTCTACTTTTCTACTTTTTTTTGTTCTACAGTGTTTTGATAATTATTGGTTCATAATATAATTTAATATAGTAATAATATATAGTACCTGCTTATGACAAAGCCCTTCATTCCTACTTTTTATTATTTCCCTAGATAATGTTCCTTTATATGAATTTTAAAAATTATTTTATTTTATTCTATAAAGTATCCCCTTGACAACGTGATTGATATAATGTAAATATAGATTAATTTAGGTACTAATATAATTTTTATTAAGTTGATGTGGCTTAGTCATGGACATTGAGTATCTCAATTTATTTGGGCCTCGTCAGTTTCTGCAAAGATTATTTTATAATTTTATTTGTATAAGTCCCATCAGTAGTAATGAATATTTACATTGCTCTTTAAGGTTTATGAAGTGTTTCATAAATATTATCTCATTTTATTCTTATGACTATCCCAGGAAGTAGAAGTTATTATTATCTCCATTTTATAGATAAAGAAACTGAGGCAGACAGAAGTCAAATGACTTACCCAGGGCAGGGTCACACAGCCAGTAAGTATCTGAAGTTGGATTTGAACTCAGATCTTGATTCAAGATCTAGCATTGTGCTACCTAGCTAGCTCTTGGTAGATTAACTCCAAGATATTTAATTCCTCTGATTATTATTTTAAATGATATTTCTCTATTTCTTCATCCTAGTATACAGAAATTCTGATGATTTGTGGATTTATCTTGTGTTTGCTACTTTGTTGAAGCAATCAATTGTTCCGCAAAAGAGAAAACACTGGTTAATTAATTTTACAATAAGGAAAACTATAAACCAACAAACATCCCAAAATAAGCACAAGAGGATATTTTTAAAATTAAAGATGAGGTGTACAGAATTAATTTTTAAAGCAATTGAATTAATGTTAAGATAAATGTTCAAGGATATAAATTTTATTTGAAGGACTACTTTACCTGTATCCAATGAAATCTGGTAAGTGATTTAATTATTACCATCCTTTTGAATATAGTTTTTAATGCTTCTCTGACTTGGCCCTTGACCTAATCATTATTTAGGATGTCCTTTTTTATTTTCTTTTTAGGTCTACATTTTTTTTTTCACAATTTCATTGTGTTGTGGTCTGTAAGGGATGTGTTTAACATTTCTTTCATGCATTTGCTTGAGTTGCAGATATTCTAGTGTTTTAAAAAATTAGTCCCATGAAAGATTGAGAAATATGTATATTCATTAAGATTCCCATTTGTGTCTCCATATGTCCATCAAATCCAGTTTTCCCCAACATTTTGTCTGTAATTTCCTTATTGTTTATTTTTCCATTTGATTTATTGAGCTCTGATAAGGAGATGCTTGCTAAAATTGACTAGAATTCATGTCTTACCACTTAAACTTTTTTTTTGGTTATTTTTTCCTTTGAGAACTTAATAGCTATCAGTGCATACATATTTAGCACTATGTCACATGCTAATAGTATCATAGATTTAGAGCTGGAAGGGACCCCAAAAATCATTTAGTCTAACCTTCTCATTATGTAGATAAGGAAACGAAGCCTAGGAAGATTTAATGACTTATCCACAGTCACACAGATAGTAAGAAGCAAAGCCAGGATTTGAACCAAGATTCCATGACTTCGGTTCTAGAAAATTTCCCCTGTATTATACTTCCATTTCAAAGTCATGTTTCATTATCTATGGTGTTTTTAGTAATAATGTAGTTTCCCTGATTATCTCCTTTGATGTCATCTCTGTTTGTTATTGCCTTACATGAAATCATAATTGCAACTTCTGCTATTTTGAATTTAGCTGAAACATGATAGTTTCACTCTAGTCCTTTATTTGAAATGTGTTTGAACTTCTTTGTTTTAGATATGCTTCTTATGGGGGCAGCTAGCTGGTGCAGTGGAAAGAGCACCGGCTTTGAATTCAGGAGGACCTGAATTCAAATGTGGCCTCAGACACATAACACTTACTAGCTGTGTGACCCTGGGCAAGTCACAACCCCATTGCCTAGCAAAAAAAATTTTTTTAAAAGTAGATATGCTTCTTATAAGCAGCATATTTTTAGGTGTTGTTTTTTAATCCATTCTGTAATTTGTTTTCCTTTATTGGTGAATTCAATCTATTAATATTTCAGATAACAATTGTTTGGTTTTCCCTACATTAGATCTTCTTCTATTGCTTCCCCCCCCCCACCCCTTAACTCAAGGTACCATACTGGCCATTTTATTTTTGACAGATCAATCTTACTCCAAGCACTAATAATACACAGCCATTCACTTCCCTAATTTTATCCCATAGATAAAGATTATATCATTTTGTAACACTCTAATCTTAATCATCTCCTCCTTCCAGAAAGAATCAGATTTCCCTGAGTATAGGATAGAAAGAGTGTGAAAAGAAGAAATGGAGGTTAAAAAAAATTTAAGGATCTAGAAGGGTTCCATAGGGCACAAAGGAAAGGTAGAGATGAGTGTTTGGGGGGATGGAAGACTGGAGAATGGTAGGATTGAATTGGATGGTAATAAGAGGTTGGTAGAGGTAACAGGAAAGAAGTCTTTTGCATTGGGCAGTTGTTCCAGGGCATCATTGCATTCTTTTTTCTTTCTTTCTAAACAAGAGATTTTTTTCTCACTTTTAAAAAACCCTATAATACTTATTCCTTGCACTGGGTATTCTTTTTTTTAATTCATTTCTTTGGTTTTTGAGTTTTTCTGTGAAAATTTCTTTCCTTTTTCCCAAATTTTTTCTTTCTGGTCTTTTATTTTATTTGGTACCTTTGTCTTTTGAAGGTGGTACAAGAAAACTAGAACTAGTAATAAACACAGTCTTCTCATTGGAAGTTTGGGGTATTTCAAAAGAAAATAGTTCTGTAACCCAAAGGACCATATTCCCCTTGGGGAATTTCAAGCGTGTGGAAGGAAGAGAAATAGCCTGCCTCTAGGTAAACTGATATCCTATCTATTCAAGTCTGCATGATTGCAGACAGACTAGTTTGGGTAAACCATAGGGATTATACTCAGATCACCCTAGTACCTTCCTTCTAAAGAAATCTAAGCACTTTTTACTTAAGTTATGTGATTCACATTCACAACTTCCCTGCAGGGCAGGAAGTGGAAAGTATTTTTTCTTTTTACAGATGATGAAAGCAAGCACCCAGACAAGTACAATGATTTGTTCTATTTACATAGCTAGTCCTTGGTCAAACTAGGATTAGAGTCTGATTCTTAATGTCTGTTAGGTTATACTACACTAGCACATAGTACACTAGCATATTGGATTGAAGTCATTGGCTAAATCCTCCAACCTTTTGTTGAAGATCATTGACAAAGGAAACAATTTAGAAGGTTGTTTTTGTTTTGCTATAGATGAGCCAGGGAGCAGGACAGAGGTACAACGGCAAGGAGTGGGGGGGAAGGAAGAAGAGAGGCAGAAGACCTGATTAGCCATAGCCTGAATAGTCAATCCTATCAAGAGAGAGCTAGCTGTCCCAATGCAATAGACCCAGAAAGAGCAGGAAATGAAGTGGCAGCTTTTAAGACAAAAATGCACCTCCCCAATTCCTGACAATGTTGAGGTGTGGGAAGTGTGGAAGGTAAAGGGATAGCTTTTTTTTTTTTAAATCAAAATAGTTGGCACCTTTGTGTATTTAAGTTTAAGTATCTGCAATCTGAGCCTGGCCACTGACCTGCTCGAATGCAACCCACAATTGCCAGCCACCACTCAGGAATTCGGGGCAGAATCACTATCACACGGTCTCCTCGCTGCAGGTCACAGGCATCTGAGAGGACATTGGCTGCCTTGCGGGTGAAATCACCAAACTCTTGGTAGTTCCACTTCACCTCATTGCCTTCCTCACTCACCCACCACAGAGCTGGGGTCAAGGCTTTACTGCCCTCCTGGTGAAATAGAAAACCTACTGATACAGCATGCACAGAGACCGGCCATTCATATGGGTTAGGGTGTACTAAATCCTCCAACCTTTCGTTGAAGATCAGTGACAAAAGAAGGCAAGTTAGAAGGTTGGTTTTACTTTACTGTAGATGTGCTTTAATACCGTAACAACTGTCAGACACTTGAGAGGCAGCATAGGATATTAATCCTTGGGACAGTATATGCATGTGTGTGTAATGCACATATGTGTATATATGTGTATATGTATAGAGATGTATACACAATGCATATATACATACACATATGTGTATACATACATACATACAGCCTGTACTGTTTGTAAGAGAGGGCTCCTGTCCAGTTTGCGTCAGAGAGTAGGGTTGATGATGTCTAAGGGTGACTGGGTCAAAGGTTCTGAAGTCAGAATGAGTTCACGTGACTCAGAGGCTCATGTCAACATGGACATTATTACAATATGGTGACATGATTTTAATGTTGCCTTCAAGACATTGTTTTGCCTGTGGATGCTTCCTGGTTCCCTCTAAACCTCCTAGGGTCTATTTCTATTCTTTATAGGATTTATTTGTCTACTAGGCAACATCATTTATCACTATGTGAAAGCTATGGCCATGGCTAGGATTGGGTGAGGAAGAAATAAAGAATCCTAGAATGTCATAGCTGGAAGAAATCTTAAGAGATGATCTGTTCTAACCTCTTTAATTTAGAGGAAACTGAAGCCAAGAAAGAGGAACAGACTTAACCAAGGTCATACAGTAGCCAAATCAGGTCTAGAAGCTAGGTTTTCTAACTCCCTGGCAGCCACTCCCCACCCAACTGTGCACAGTATAGGTAGTTGCAATGAAGATTGCTAGGCTGGGCAACTAGGATATTCTGATGCCATAACTGGGCAGCTAGGCGGCACCATGGAGAGAGCACTAGTCTTGGAGTCAGGAAGACATGAATCCAAAATCTCACATCAGACACTTTCTAGCTGTGTGACCCTAGAAAAGTCACTCAACTCCTCTCACCCTCAATTTCCCCATCTGTGAAATGGGGATAATAATAGCTCTTACCTCACACGGTTGTGTGTTTTCCAAATCTTAAGGCATATAAATGCTAGCTGTCTGTTATTAGGGGAACCACACTCTGTCTCTCTGGGAGCTAACTTCTTCTTTTTTAAAGAAGGAACTTATTTTATTATTCCAAGTACATCATTTCCTAAGATTTTCACCTATTTCCTCTAGTTGGTTACCTCCTTTTCCCACTTAATAGTATTTACAATTGCATGTAAAAATAGTTTTTAACATTCATTTTTTATGCGATTTTGAATTCCAAAATTTTCTCCCTCCCTCCCCTCCCCAACACAGCAAGCAATCTGATATAGATTACACATGTACAATCATGTTAAACATATTTCCACATTAGTTATGTTGTAAAAGAAGAATCAGGACAAAAGGGAAAATCATGAGAAAGAAAAAAACAAAAAACAAAAAAAAGTGAAAATCACATGCATCAATCTGCATTCGGACTCCATAGTTCTTTCTCTGGATGTGGATAGCATTTTCCATCAGGAGTCTTTTGGAATTGTCTTAGATCATTGTATTGCTGAGAAGAGCTAAGTCTATCATATTTGATCATTGTACAATGTTGCTATTATTGTATGCGATATTCTCCTGGTTCTGTGACTGAGAAAGTTTTCTTTAGAGTATGTAGGATAGAGAGAGGTGGAAAGAGGAAGAATAGATTCTGATCTAGCACATGCTTGATCTGTCTAGATGGGCTTTCAGATCCATTAATATGCATTGTATTTGAGCCCTACAGCAACCTTTCTCCTCTTTGCCCTCATTTTGGGACCTCCTTCAGCTGAAGAACTATGGAGTCCGAATGCAGATTGAAGCATATGATTTTCACTCTTTTTGTTTTTTGTTTTTTTCTTTCTCATGGTTTTTCTCTTTTGTCCTGATTCTTCTTTCATAACATAACTATTAGAAATAGTTACACCGCAGAGCAGCGAGCAGATGAGGTGAATTGGCCCTTGGGGAAATTCTAACTTATGAAAGACTTCATGGAGGAAGTAGGTGGGAGAGCTAGAGGGCCGGAAAGATGGACTAGGGATACTTGAAACTAAAACCACCCACACTGCAAGGAAGAGGCAGACAAAATATGTGTCGTGTTGTGGGGTTCTGGGTGTTGTATTCTGTGCTGGGTTGGAGTAGAGCAAGGGTTCCCACTTTTTCTGAGAGACACTTGCCATGATTTTGATATTCTACTTCCCCAAAACTAAACAGCACAAACACTGGGAGTCTAGTTCCTGCTTCCCAATTTCCCCCATTTCTGACACCTGCAGTCTCTAGAAATCCCTATCACCTTCTCCATTTGAGCCCAGTGATCCAGCACATCATTTGCAAAGTTAAACTTCTCAGGCATTTCTGGATTTTTCGCCCCCAAGAAAGCCTGCTGGACCATGTTCCTGGGATGGATGTGCAGTGGACAGCAGGACAGCCAGGAGGCCCACAGGGCTCGGGACCGCTGGAATCTTAGCAGCAGCTGCATGATCAAGAGAGGGTAGTCCTAATGGCACCAGGGAGCCACAGCGAATCGTTGAACCTCATTCCACTGCCAGAACTCTGTGGGGGGGAGAAACAGAAGAAAGGGTGTTAACTCCTTCTTGGCAACGCGGCCCAACCAAACCTTGGTGGGCCTCCAGGACCACCCAAGGTGAGCCAATCTCCTTCATTGCTCACTTGATAGTTTGGTCGCATGTCCAGATACCAAAGAAGAGGTGGGGCAGGGGCTGGGGGTGGGCACTCCTCTCAGTTTCTGAGGTCTGCGCCTTAAAGCAAGCGTAGGACTAAGGTCAATAGGGTTGGCATTGCTCGTCTTACAACACGGAGGCCCTCCCCAGAACAAAACAGACCGATCCCTATGATGTTTGATAACAATGCAGAATTCTCAAGGACTCCAATCCTACCTGCTTCCTCTCCCTAATATGTGAGCATACAAGAAATAACGTTTTTCCTACAGGATACCACACTGCTATATCCACTGTATCCACATCTGCACATGTGGTAGCAGATAGAGCACTGGACTTGGACTAATAAAGATATAAGGCCAAATCCCACTTATCTGTGTGACCCTGGGCAAGTCACTTAATTCCCCTAGCCTCAGTTTCCTCATCTGTAAAATGGGGATATTAATGGCAACTATTTTACAGGGTTGTTGTGAGGATCAAATAAGATAACGTATGTAAAGTACTCTGCAAAACTTAATGCGATATATAAATGTTAGCTATTACTATCCTGCTTTGTTTTATAGTGTTTGCTGCTGTTGAGTCATTTCAGTAATGTCTGACTCTCTATGACCCCATTTGGGGTTTTCTGGGCAAAGACACTAGAGTGATTTTCCATTTCCTTTTACAGCTCATTTTACAGATGAGGAACTGAGGCAAAGAGAGTTAAGTGACTAGCCCACACTCACACAGCTAGTAAATGTCCAAGGCCAGATTTGAATTCAGGTCTTCCCAACTCCAGGCCTGGCACTCTATCCACTTTGCCATCTAGCTGTGTAGTGTAGACAATTCTATTACCAATAACATTTATATTTGCCAGTGCTCCGGTCAGTTCAGGGAGGGTCAAATTCAAACTAGTATAGAATGAGTGTGAGATTTGGAAGAAAGAATCATAGATTTAGAGCTGGAAGGGACTGTCAAAGTCATATAATCCAACCCTCTGACCCTTTCATTCAATGATAAAGGCTCCATCTCACCATACTAGTTAATCAGATGTGCCTCAGCTCTCAACCTGACATAAACATGACGTAGGATAATGTCATGAACCTCCTTTAAATGGGATCCAAGCTTGGAATCAGAATTTCAGGTCTGGAAGGTTCTCCTATGACTTCGACCTATACGTGAATAAGAACCTCCTCTACCATCCCCCCAGTAAGTGGCAACCCAGCTGTTCTTTAATGATCTCTAGTGAGGGTTAACTTACTATCTACAAAGACCAGAACTCTCCACTTTTGGATAGTTCTAAGAGTTAAGAAATTTTTCCTTTCATCGGCCCTAACCTCATTTCTTTGCAGCTTTCTCCCATAGATCTTATTTCTTCCCTCTGGGGCCACACTGAACATGCATATACCCTTCAAGTATTGAAGAGAGTGATGAAGGGTCTGGCAAGAAGAAATTCCCGCATTGACCATGACTGAAAATGTACATCTCTTTTTTACATCGTAGCTTTCTCAGCTCCCAGACTCCTCAAACTACTTGTAAAGTTTATTCTTTTTTTACACCCCCATGTATTCATACTTTCCCACAGCCCTTCTTCCCCAACCTGACCCTCTTCCAACTCCAGGCTTGGCACCTCCCTCTGGGTGTGTGAGCGATGAAAGGAAAAGGATTTTCCAACATCTCTTGAGTGCTTACCACTAGTGGCATTTTGGGAAGAAAGCAATTGTGAGGACTCACCCAAGGAGGCTTAGAATAAAAGGAGGAGAAGCTCTCCTATGGGGTCCTAGAATCAAATCTGATTTTATCTCCTTTTTAATGCTCACTTTCTACCTAAACCCAAGTTGCTCATAAGCCATAAAGCTAGACCAGGCAACATTTCATCAGCTAAAAGCCAAAGCTAGCAATTTATTTAAAAGGACAATTAAATGTGATTAATTCAACTCAATTCAATTTAATTCATTTCAAAAAGCACACATTAAGCACCTACTATGCATAAGGCTTTATGCTGTTATGAAAAATGCCTGGGATGAATCTTTTGAGCTTGCAGCAGTTCTAAGGAAAATCAGTTTCTTCCTGATGTGATCCATAATCTCCCTTACTGTGTGTCTATGTGTATGCATGGCATTATTTGTCCAGTTTGTGGCCACCTTCCTCCTCCCCTCTATGAAATGTATTTTATTATTCTTTCATTACCTCTTGTCATATAGATTTGGACTAGGTTGCCTTTGAGTTTCCTTTGCACTCTAAATCTACAATCCTGTGACCTTTAGAATGAGTTCTGAGAGGTGCTTACCACAGCACCTCTCACACTGCTGACATTCTGTAAATGTTTATTGAAGGAACAGTTACAGCAGGGATGGGGGCTAAAGCAGGTCAAGGAATCTATTAGATTAGTACTAGTTTATTATTACACTCTAGGATTGAAAGGCCATATGAGGCCAGGTCAAAGATCCAACTAGTTGAATAATATTTCTGGGTAAGGAAACCTGGCCTAGCAGTTTCTAGAAAGAGAGGGTTGTCTTCTGTGATTAGATTAACACCGTGCCCCACTTAGCCAGTATAATGTAATGAAAAGAATACTGAGTTACAAAGTCAGACAGAGAGCCTAGGTTCAAATCCTACCTCTTCGATCACTGCCTGTGTGATGAAGCTCAAATTGTTTAATCTTGGGATGTAACAGTACCGTGCTGTGAGAAATGATGAACAGGTTAATTTTAGAAAATCATAGAAAGACTTGCATGAAATAATGAAGAGTGAAATGAGCAGAACCAAGAGAACACTGGATACAGTGGCAGCAATATTTTTCAATGAATAACTTTGAATGACTAAGCTATTCTGAGTATTTTAAATATTCAAATCAACTACAAAGGACCTATGAAGTGTGGGGATTAAGATTGTCCAACCTACAATAAAAGAGACCGAGGCAGAGCTCTGGGCCAATGACACTTTATTAAAGGGTCCCTGGTCCCCTCTAATGCAGTGGACCTCAGATCTTCCTCACAATCTGAGAAACCTCTTCTTCCAGGACCTTGTTTTTATAAGGTTTCCAAATATGCAAAAGAGGCATGGTGAAATACAGAATCTCATTGGTTGATAGACCTCACTCTTGAGGGCCAAAGTCAGCAGGGGGGGTCACAGGTTGGACAAAGCATGGGGCATCTCCACTAAGTGGAGTCATAAGATGGTCGCTTGCTCATGTTGGACCAAAGAGGGAGGTCTGGAGGTACAAAAATAAATGAGGAGACTTTCCAAAGCATCAAGGTATTCCACCCATGGAATTGGACACGGAATTTGAGCAAAACAGGATGGAGACATCTTTATCAGCATTCTTGTGGTTGAACAAATGAGCCTCATAATTTGGTAAACAAATAGCAAACATTACAATGAATTTTGAGGCCCTATAAGAACCTATCTATCCCTATATGATTTATGTAATATATCAAACTGATTGAAATAGAGTAGGGGTCCAAATGAATTATTTTTCACAAAGGAAGATGATATCCACTTCCAGTGAAAGAACTAATAAACAGAAGTTTGTACAGTATGGTTTTGCACCTATCTATCCATCTATGTCAAATGGTGGCCTTCTTTAGTTCAGGTTGGGAGGAAGGGAAGGAAGCAGCATGGAACTCAAAAAGTAATAACCTTCCCCCCAAATTGTTAATCTTTCTGAGCCTCAGTTTCTTAATCTACAGAAGTTAGCTTTATAAATCTATGACTTTTGATTCCTAATTTCTATTACTAATTCCATAAAGCTCTGTCAACTATGAATTTGCCCAATCCTTTATTAAACATATTTATATTTTAGTCGTTACTAGTTGTAAACAGTACAGTGAGTGGTACAGTGGTAATAGGGTAGTCTGGGAGGAGGGCAGGTAATAATAAATAAGTTTATCATCTTTTGCCTCTTACTAGTCACAAAACATTTGTGATTTTATTGGCATGGGCCTTCTCTCCCTGATGTAGATTGGAATTCCTCCGCACCAGAATCAGCTCAGTACTTGGTAGCCAGCCTTTCAGGGCTGGCTCGGCATTCCACTAGCCTAGCTCTTGAATAATAGGAACACAGTCTTTGGCAGGACAGATCCCTGACGACTTTCATGATGGATTAGACCCATCATAGTCTTTAAGAACCCAAAGTCCATGCCGCAATCAGAAACCAGATTAGAACTTTGGAAATATAGCATGTTTGAACAAAAAAAGGCCTGAGCAATCATCTGATTCTGCCCTTCTTTTTTGCAGATTAAGCAACAGAGGCCTATACAAATTGCTGACTCGAATACCAATTGTATGACCCTAGGTAAATCATTCAACCTCTCAGTGCTCTAGGCCAGAGGTGCCAAACCCACAGCCTGTAACATTACATAAAACGTAATTGGGAAATATTTAAAAAATAACTAAAAATATAATAAACATAGATAACATTGCATTTTAAAAAATAACATGAACTTACAGGAATTCTGGTACATGGATTAATGGCCCTGTTTCTATTTGAGTTTGACACTGCTGCTCTAGGCAACTCTAAGACTCTAAGTTTAGGAAAAGGTTGCATTGGGAGTGAAAGCTCCCTAAGTCAAAGAAATCACCAGTCCTGTTCTTATCTCTATGCACATGAGCTAATACTGCATACCTTTAATACCTTAGCTGGGTATCTATTTGATTCTGTGGGCTCCTTACTTAGATATTAAGAATTGGAAGGAATGTTAAATGTCATAAAATTCCATCTACAAGAGCCTTTATCAAAATTCATCCAGCCTTTCTTTGAGTTTCAACTAGTGACAAAGACTTACACCCTATCTTAAGAGGCAATACGTCCCATTGTTGGACAGCTGACTTATTCTTGAGTTCCTGGGACTTCCACCCATTTGTACTAATTTTACCCCACAGAGTAATGCAACTTAAGTCTTTTCTTAATATACCTCTCCAATATTTGAAGGCAGTATTCAAGTTCTTAGCCAAAGGCACTGTTCCCCATTTATTGCATCAGGGAAGGTTTCTGTTTTGTTTTAATTGTAGGGGTTAGTTATTGTTAATGTTAAGACATTGTTAAGTCCACAGCACTAAATTGGAAGGAGGGTAGAATGCAATGTAGAAGACTCTGGTCAGAAAAGGGCATGAGGACACTTGGTAGGGGTGGTGGAGTGGCAGAGATGGAAGTAGAAAGAGGATTTGGAAAGATGCCAAAGACAAATTGTACTGTGTTTTTCTTTCTTTCTTTCTTTTTCAGCTTAGGACAGCCCTAACTCTGGTTAATAACACCCTAGGAATAATAAACCTAGGAAAAAGGCTTTAACTTTTAAGGGTGTTCCAAGTCCTTTCTTTCTTTGGGTTGAAGCATTTGGGAGAAGTCATTTGGTATCCTTTTCTTCAGTCTTCTAGGCATTAATATCATATCAGGTGTAATTTCTTAATTCTACCACCAAGGACATTCTAAGCTTCCTCATCTCAGTCACACTTCTAGCTTCTCAGCTGAGGAGTTCTTCCTAATTTGAAACGGAATTCTACTTGCTATAGCTAATGCCTGATGAGTAAAAATGATCCAATTTCCTTTCATAGCCTAAAGGCTGTTAATAAGATCTTTGGTCTTGGAAGTCTCCCTCCCCCTTCTTCCCACTTCCCAAATCTTCCTTCCCAGCCAAAACTTCTTGCGACTTTACTTACCTCTGATGAGAGCCCTGGTGAATGTCAGATTGTAGAAGGAAACCTGCAGCCCTTGGGATGTAAGTAAAGAGATGCTAGACTAGCTCTGTGGTTCATCTCAGAATCTTAAGTAATGGGTTTCTCTACTCTGGAAGGGTAAATTGTTGGATGCAAGGAGAAGATTCTTATGCGAGACCGTGGTAGAGACCAGCACTCCCAAAGATTCTATTTCATAGGACACAGATGGTTCACTCACCTTCACGTAAGAGCTCTGAGTTTTCTGGGGGAAGGGCCAAAGGCAAGAACCTTTCTCAAGGGCCACCAATAGCTCAAATGCTCCTCCTCCTATCTTTTAATGTTTCTGCATTTGACGGTCCTCTCAGAGCCTATCAGAGCATCCCATAGTTGCTCTCTTTCTAGGATGGGGTGTTGGTTAGGGTGTATTAACTTCCTGAGCTATCCCTTCCTACCCTTTGGTATACTATAGCTTGGATGCCTTCTTATAAGACCCACACATGTGATGGAAGAAACATAGGATTTGGAAAGATCAGAAGATCTGAATTCAAATTCTGACTTTGCTATTGACTATTACATGGGTGGTACTGAGCAAGTCTTTTAACAACTTTAGGCCTCAGTTTCCACATCTGTAAAATAAGGAAATTGGATTAGATTACCTCCATTCCAACTTTTATCCTATTATTGTGTTTATTCTCTAATGGATTTATCATTCTCACTTATCCTAATAATATCTCTACACTGTGAAAGCATTCATCCAAGTTGAGATCCAGCCCTTTGTTCGAGGATATTGATAGAGAAATACTTTTTAGGAAAGGTCGTGTGGTGCAGTGGAGAGAATACTAGTTTGGAGTAAAAAAAAATAAAAAAACTTAGGCTTCAAATCTCACACTTAGCATTTTTTATTTGTGTGACCCTGAGTCATTTTCCCTCTCTGTTTCAGTTTTCTTCCCTATAAATTGGGTGTATTTGTCAATATTTAAGTGTTTTTCCAATTCTAAAGCTCTACAAAGCTCTGAATCAGAAGATAAAGACTCAGGGAAGGGACAGATATTGTTGGAAGGACCTGTGTCCGTGAAAAGATATATCAATTTCTTAAGTTCACTACCCAGTGGACAAAAAAGAGCTGAGATTGTGTTTCAGGGGCTGAAAAGAACTTTAATCCAATCCAAAAGGCATTTATTGAACACCTATCATGTGCAAGATGACAATAATACAAAGACAAAATGAAAAATAGTTCTTGCTGTCAAAGAACTAACATCTGGTAGGCTGAGGAGCATGAAGAGAATGTATGTTTATGTCACAAAAGCAGATAATACCTACATGGATGTACAGAGAGTACTTGCACACATGGGGGAGGGGGGAACACATTAACATCTTCCCTTCCTCTTCCCCTCTCTCTGTTACTTCTAGATTGAAATACAAACTCCTCATCTTTTGAGTTAAAAGCATTTCCCAATCTATGTCCATCCTACTTTCTTGGGCCTGTTGCATATTATTCTCCTTTACTCATTCTATTTTCCAGCCAAACTAGCTCACTTGTTCCCTGAACTCATTATTTTCCCTCCTGCCTTTGTGACTTTCCGTATCCTGTTCCTCATGCAGTTTTTTTTCAACCCAAACTCTTAGAATCCTTAGCTACTTTCAAATCTAGTAGTATCACCCACCATAAGAAACCTTCCTAGATTCCTCTGCTTATCAGAACTCTCTTCTTCCTCTTCAAATTATCAGGTGTTTACTAACAAATATGCATAGAATATGGGTTGGGCATTCTAGAATGCCTTGGGGAGGGCCTTGCCATTGGCACTCCCCCTTAGGAAAGCACAAAGCCAACCCCCATTGTCAGTCTCAGAGAGATAGGGACTAGTACTGCACACTGCAGAGCACTCAGAGCTCTGAAGCTCTGGAAGATAAAAGGTCCCCTCAACAATTGGACCAATGCACCAGGGGCCTTGCAGTTTTCCTAAGACCAATGAGATCAATAAGCCCAGTGAGATAACCAGTTGACTCAGGGGCCTTTTTGGGGTATAGTAGGGGATAGAATGACTCCTGTTTAGGAGTTGTGCAAAAAGAAGAAAACAGAGGTGGGTCTAGGCCAGTACCTATGTTGGGTCATAAGGAGATAGAGGTAAAAACCTGGGATTGTGGCAAAGATCAGGTCACTGAATAAGTCAACCCATCCAGATCTGTAGAGGAGTCAAATCCAAACTATAGTGGGGACAGTACCTAAAAGTGTCTACTCATCTCATCTAAGAGAATAAGACTGTTACAAAGTCCCAGTCTGGGAACTGAGGCCAGAGATAAGCAGATATAAATGCAAATATAGTGAAGAAATACTTCATTGTATTGAGTTGAAAGGAGTCCAAGAAGCAAGCCCCCAAAAGATGAATATAATTCCACCACAACTACAAGGAGCATCTCAAAGAAAAGAATGGCTTGGTCATAAACATTACAAAAATGGCTAGATGAAATGAAGCAAAAGATAATGAAATCAGAACACTTGAAGGAAATAGAATAAAAAGCTTAGAATAGAAGGTGGAAAACCTTATCTAAATTATGATGTCTTATCTAAATGGGATCCCTGAAAAACAGAATGGATTTCTTTGAGACACAAAGAAATATTAGAACACAATTAAAAGATTAAAAAAATTAGAACATATAAGAGATTTACTACCAAGAACAACTAATGTGGGAAACAATTGGAGATTTAATTTAAGAATAATTGGGCTCCCTGAAAATCATGGTCATATTTTTAAAAATAATTACTATATTTTACTGAATCATAAAAGAAAACTACCTAGATATATTAGACCCAGAAGGCAAAATAAAAATCAAAAGAATTCACTGGCTATCTCTTGAAAGAAATCCCAAATTGAAAACAAATTGGAATGTCGGAGACATAATTTAGAGCCGTTAGCTCAAAGAAAAGAAAAATGCTATTGTCAGAAAGAACGAAGTCTACAAAGGATTACATAAGTCTATGTTGCAACTGCTTTTAAGAAGAGATACTCTTCGAATATGTTTCAAATGACAAAAGATAAAGATTTACAATAAAAAAAAACTTCCTGCACAACTGACTGTAGTCCTATGGCAGAGGTGCAGTGGAAGGAGAAAATGGATCTTTAATGGAATAAAGGACTTTCAAGCACTCTTGATGAAAAGACCAAAACTGGGCAGAATTTTTGAAACGCAGGTTTCAAGAGAAAACTAGTTAGGGAAATATATTTGAACAATTGCAAGAGGATAGATGATAATCAAGTAGTTATGTTCTAATAAACAGACAAGAAATAAGTGTCCCTTCAAACTCCTGTAGTCTTCAAAGATACAGAGGGTATAAAAGAAGATAAAACAAGTCCTGGAGTAGTTTTGTTTTATCTTGTTAGTTTCAAGAGAAGAAAGGAAAGTAAGTGGAAAATGGACACTATAAGGAAGAAATGAGAAAGAAGGGGGAGTGAACTTACTATATTTCTTAAAATTGGAATATGAGGTTTGTAGTTAACAAGCATCTATTAAGTGCTTACTGTGTTCTAGTCACTGTGCTAAGCACTGGGGATAAAAATACTAGCAAAAAGAAAGATAACCTCTGCTTTCAAAGAGCTTACATTCTAATAGGGCAATACATGTATAAAAATTAGGGTCTGGAAATTTGAGTGGGGGGATAGTTGATAAGAGCTACCTGGGCAAGTCATGATGGCAAAGTCTTTGGAGCTAAGAGGGGAATGAAGCATAGCTGGCCTGTGCTTGTACCCCAAAAGAACTCACCAATGAGAGAAGAAGGCAAGGATGATGGAGGGATATTACAGGGTGAGAAGGCCCTAGGTTATGAGGGATGATAGGGCAAGTAAGTCCTTAGCATCAGGAGCACAGCTAGAAGAGAAAGAAAGCACAACCTGCTTGGACCCATCCCCAAAATGGAGATCTTGAAAGGAACTCGCTAATAGGAGAACGGCTGGCATGGCAAAGGAATATTATGAGAGAACAAGAGTATACAAACATAGAGGAAGGGTTGGGAGGAAAAGACATCTCTTGAACCTTACTCTTATCTGAACTGGGAAAAGGTGGGATAAATATGCATACTTACACTCATACATGTGGGAAGAGGGAAAAAGAACAGGAAGATTTAATGAGGACAATAGAACTGAGAAGGGGAGAAGCATAAGCAAGACACATTTCAAGATAGATTGTAAAGGGAAATTAAAAGGAAAGAAGGTATAAGAGCCAATGATCACAGTTATGGATAGGTGAAAGGAAGAAGAACAGAGGAATGGGATCAGACCACTTCAATTATAAAATACCAGAATGATCAAATTCTTCTTTGTAAAGAGGAGTGGGTAGCAAAGAAAGAAAAAATTATGAAGATATGATAGAGGGAAAAACACAATAAACAAGCATGACCATGAATGTGAATGAGATGAAATCACTCAGAAACAGAGGAGGATATCAGAATAGTTTAGAAAGCATAATCTAACAATATGTTGTTTCCAAGAAACATACATTTACAAACACAAGATTCATACAGAGTTAAATGAGATGTTTTAGCAGAATTTATTGTGCCTCAAATCATTTTTTTAAAAAAGCAAAATGAACATTTACAAAAATATAAAACAACTAGACCAAGAAAAAGAAACAGAAATTAAATCACTTAATTTCAGAAAAAAATTGAAATTCATATATGAATTCCCAATTAAAAAATAAATCTAGACCCAATCAAATTTACAAATGAATCCCATCAAATGTTTAAAGAATAATTAACTCTAATATTGATATTAATAAATTGTTTGCAAAAAATAATGAAAAAGAAGGGATCCTACCAAACTTTTTCTGTAAGACAATCATTGTCCTGATACCTGAACCAGGCAGAGATAAATCGGATAATGAAAACTATAGCTAATAGTTCTCATACATATTGACATGAAAATATTAAAAAAATATTAGTGAAGAAGTTATAGCAACTGTTATCTTATGTACAAGCTGGATTTATGCCAGGAATACAAGGTTTGTTCAATATTAGGAAAACTGCAAATGTAATAGACCATATTAATAACAAAAACAATAAAATTACTTGATTTGATCAAGAGATACAAAACAATATTTTGACATAATACAATACCCGCTTGTAGTTCTTGGTAAGTAAGGCAAAAGCTCACATATCAGAAACTCAAGTCACAGAAGCATAGTCCAAATTTCCAGGGGGGAAA